GGTCGTGGCAGCGATAATTGGACATTTCAAGAATGGCGAGAGCCTCCCTGATTTTTTTTTTTTTTTTTGGGGTGGCTGCGCGAAGCTGACCCGAGCGAAGCAAAAAAAATTGACTGTCATTCAGATCGCGCGTATTCCCAACGCCGTTTACAAGACAAGGAATTTTCTCATCGACATTCCAGTCATTCCATTGGACTTTTCCACGGGGCAGCGCGTTTGTCGCCGATTCTAAAAGAATGGGAGGCTGCATGACTCAACGCGATCGCCAATCATCACCGAACCACCAGAAATCCAAACATTCGGAAGGAGTGCCCTTGAAACCGTCGTTTGAAAACCAAAACGTGCCTCTTACCTGCATCTCCTGCATACTGCTCGGACCGGGCGCGATTTTCCCAAAGTGATGTCCGTGTCCTCCTCCGGCGCCTTCAACGTTAGCTCCAGACACCATCCCGTTGTCCCTCTCTTCTTGGCTGGCCCCGCTTTGCACGTCCTGTCGACTCGGATTCAGTCCCGCCACATTCCCGGTCTGTCCCTGGTCTGCCTGCTGGCTCCCGTAGACTCCACTCCCCCGTGCGCCGCCGCCGCCGCACTCCTGGCAGCTGCTCTTCAGCTTGTTCACCACCTCCTTCAGGCTCTGCAGCTCCTTCATCGCCTTCTCCAAAAGCCGGAACTGCTTCGGCAGCTGAACGGTGAGAGGAGGCAGGGTCACCTGGTAGGGGCACTCCTCGCCCTCCTCCGCCCCGGCCCCGGAGCCCCCGCATTGGCCGGCGGGTCTCAGCTTGATGGCGCAGGAGCCGGAGGCGCCGGAGTCCGCCCCCGAAGTATAGGCTACTCTTGCGTCCCACTTCTGGTGGGAACTACCGGGGAAGTCCGCCGCTGCGTGGCAGGTGCTCGGCGACAGCGTCGCCATGAGCAGGAAAGCGGTGGAAAGCAGAAGAGTCCTCATTTTGGTTTGAGTTGCGACGAAGGAAAAAAAAAAAAAGCTGTGAAAAGACGGGAAAAAAGTGGGTGCAATCCAGCGGAGTCAGGTCTGCGTGTGTGTGTGTGTGAGTGTGTGTGAGTGAGCGCAACCTGCAGGGATGAGAGTGTGCAGGGGAACTGGCGCTGCCTTCAGTGCCGTGTCATTAATATGAGGGCGAGCGAGGGAGGGAGAGAGAAAGGGAGGGTGGGCGACTTGGGGGAGGGTGGGAGGCGCGGCGCTATTACGTAATGGCCTCGGACATATTGGTGGCACTGGGAGAACTTGAGCAATGCCGCAACGTCTTTTTTTTTTTTTTTTTTTTTTTTTTTTTTTAAGGGGAAAAGGGCAGCGCAGCAACGGGGTGTTGAGGTTAGCCTCAACCATTCCATCTGCCGCACTGATCACTTCTGATTCGTATGTCAGATCGGGTTCAAGTTCAGTCTTGTCTAATTTCTCACTTTGTTCTACTGACATTGTACACGCTTTCGAACTTCTTACTCTAAACCCGCCGACATAAAAGCGGCTTCCCTCCTAACAAGCTTTTTCCAAACCTCTTGGACTGGCTTGCTTGAAATTAATTTGGGTGCATCCGTCATTAGAGACTTACAAATTGCTTTACAATATGTCCTGTATTAATATTTAATGCCCCCCCCACCCCCCTTTTCTCACAAGGGAATGAGGGGGAAGCATGAAAACAAATTTGTACTCATCGTCATTGCTGTTTTTTTGTGTCCAGTATCGGAGACTAATGTCAATTTGGACCAGCGGTTGCCTGCAGTTGCCGTTGCCGAATGAAAATTTAAAGAGCGGAACCTTAAGTGGCTCCCGCGGACTCGCTCGTGGATGTCATTAAGACTTTTCTCTGGATGCCCTCTATCCACTCGCACTGCTTAAGCATTCTCTGTGTGCTCGGAGTATTTTTTATTTTATTTTTTTTATGTTGCGTCAGATGTTAACGAAGCTTTCTTATGGTTTGTCCAAAGCATCAGACCGAAACAACCACTTTATTTCAAGCCCTGCTAACTTACAATCTGCTTGAGCTTGTGATAGGATTGAGGTCATTGTGTAACTTTTATTTTATTTTTTTTACAGCGGTCACTACAGTGGACAGCTGATCATGTGAGATGAGATCAATCCAGAAATGTTGCGATGACAAAAACAGTCATGCCTCCATTTTGATTCTGTCGCAACTTCGTCCGCTGTTTGCTTTTGTTGTGGCGTCAACCTGAGAAGGTTGAGCGAAATCCACGTTCAAATTCATATTTCTGCAAAGTGCCTTTCATGCATTCTTTCTTCAACTCATTGCACGTGCATGCGGGCGGGCCCCCGAGGTTGCCCGCTGCCGTCTGCGGGCATAAATATAATTTAGCGATTGTCTCACTTCAAAGATGGCCGGCCACATGTTCCGCCTTACGCCGCTCACCCCATAAAAAGCTTCCAATTCTCTTTCACGGCGGCAAATAAGTCTCATCACCGGAAGGGGCGGGGCCTGCCTCCAAACGCTTCGGGGCCGTTCAGAAAAAAACGTTCAGCGTGCAGCCAAGATGTCTGCCGTTTCACTGCCGCGTCATCTGCCACGGTTCAAAAAAAAAAAAATTTCACAGCACCGAACTGATTTGGTGACTCACGAGAAGCTTCCAAATCGATTTGATTGTTTTCATTCCTGTCGGGTGTTGCTGCGCGAGAATCAAATTCTATCCCGGCGCCTGCGATCAATTTCATGACTAACAATGAACACGCAGGCCCTGGATGACCCACTTAATATTTCAAGATGGAAGATTGTGGCGCTTTTTTTTATTTTTTAAGGAAAGGCAGAGCAGGCAGTAACGCTTCGCTTGTCCCGGCCTGACATTGTCTGACTGCTAACAAGCGCAAGATGAGACGCCTCCAAATAAATCTTTACGTTTACGACAGCCCCCATTATCTGATGAACCCGTCGCGCGCTCTCTTTGGACCCCCCCCCGGAGGAACGCGCTCGGGATATTCTCCCGACGGGATGAATCGTAAACCGCATAAATAGCCGATGTTTAAAACTCACGCTGCACCGTCGACGTGTGTGGCTTTGGCTGTGTTTAGATTACTTCCCCAACAGCCAAGGTTACCCCCCCTGCCGCCCCTCATTATCCCCCTCACCCCGACCAGCCTGGCTCCGAAGATAAGAGCCGAGCACCTGTCCGCCTTTTCCATCATTGTGACACCCGAAAGTAGCACGCCATGGGGGGAAATTTACCCGACAACAACTCATTCAGAGACTGAAACAGATAATCAAGGCCATGGGCGCTTTTGCACAAAAAGGGGGAATCATCAACATGTTTTTTCCCCCCGCAGCTGTATATCTTTCATGGCTTTCCGCTCGCCTTTTTAATCTTTAGAATTGCTGCGGCATACGGGGCCGCTTTCTATTCTTTTTTTTTTTTTTAATCTTCGGAATTTGCGATCGGCCATCATTCGTTTTTTTTTTACAGCCCACTAGGTCAACGCGATGCTTTGATTTGTGTCGATCAAGGTTCGTTTAACTGTTTGAAAGCGTTTGGGGTTTATCGCACCCCCCTATTAACGCGAAGAGTTAGCATGCATTTGTCAGTGTTTTTAATGCCTCCGTTTTTATTGACGCCGGCCGGGCCTTTTATTTTTTTTTTGTTGCCTCTCAGATGCTGTCACGGGGAAAAATGAGTCGGACAAAGGTGGACAAGTTGAAAGAGATCCACAGGCAACTCAGCGATGAAGTGAGGAGGTATGCGACAGTGTTTTTAGTGGAAGCAAACGTCGACCACCATGCATTTTTTTGGTGGGGTTGATATGCGGTAGCCAAAGACTGCAAAGCACAAGTCAAGAAGAAGGGTGGAGACACCGGACCTGTGTGCCAAAACTAATTTACTTTCACCCTGAATGTAGTTGAACTCCAGAATAAAACTGGAAAGTGAAGCTAATTCAGTTTTTTTTCGAGTAGTCAGAAGCGCATAAGTTCGTTTCACCCAACTCACCTATATTTTGGCTCCAAAAACACATAAAACAAGCTTTTTGTGAAAGGCACAACAGTGACTTTTGTGCTAAGCTAATCTTTTTTTTTTGCTTTCGTGACTTCACACATTCCAGCAGGCCTTCTATAAAATACCAACATTAATTTTTGGTGGCATTACAAATATTTACCAGTGTAACAATTCTACTTTTGACAAACTTTACAGTTTGCACGTTATGTAGTGGTAGTGGTGTGTGTGTGTGTGTGTGTGTGTGTGTGTGTGTGTGTGTGTGTGTGTGTGTGCGTGTGTGTGTGTGTGTGTGTGTGTGTGTGTGTGTGTGAATTTTTTTTAATCAGGGCCAAAATGTATCAGATTTTCCTCCACTCTCTAAAAAAAAAATATATATATATATATATATATATATATCTCCCCACAACGAACATTATGATATATACATTGCTCTTTCCCCCAAAAGTGCCCAAGATTCGGAGATCCGGCTTCTGGAAGAGGCAAACAGGCTCCGCGCCGAGCTGAGGCGGCTGCAAGCCGACTCGGAGAGAAGCGAAGAGCCCGGTTCCTCCGCGGAGCCCGCGAGTAGAAGCGGTGTCTGCTGAAGGAGAACGACATCACGGCGAAACTTGATGTAAGTTTATCGCCGCGCCCGTCACGTGGCATCGCTGGGACGTGGATTTCACCTGAGGGACGATGAATTTGAGCTGTACTTGAAGGCGTCTTTGGAAAATGTCAAAAGTGGTCAAATCTTGATGACTGTATAACGGGACTGAAATCAAATTTGACACTTTTACAGTTTTGCCCAGATGTGCACCAAAATTTGAGGACTGCAATGAGGACGATTTTTTTTTATTTTTATATAATATCCACAGCTGTTAGAGCCACCTCTAATTCGTAACATCATCACAGCAACAGTTGGCGTTTTAGTTTGATAGCACATACACAGGGATGTTCGATACCAACGAGTACTCAACACCGAGACAGATACCAAGTGGCCGATGCCACCAGTGCATCAATTTAAATAACATTTTTTTAAATTTCTGACAAAAGGCAGAAGAATGAGAGCAAAAGTGCCACAGTGACTGGTATCACTGGTTGGTATCGACAACCTTTTGTAATACTCGATACCTTGAAATAAGGCCTTGCATCGCCACTCGCCCAGTCCTCGACATATGTTTTTCGCGCAAAAGTGACACGAACAATTATTTGGTACATTCCCCAGCTGATAATTAATCCGCCGTCAGATCCCACACGAACTGGAGAGCACCACTGTGACCCTGCAGGACAAATGTGAGAAACTGAAAAAAGAAGTGGCCCACAGACAGATGGAAATCAGGTATTTGTTTTCTACCGCGTCTCTGCCGCCAAACATTAAATGTGCATGAAAACATCAGCGTGTACCTTCTTCGCGTTTGTCTCGCCCAGCGCCCTGAAGGAAGACATGGAAACGTACCAAATGCAGACACTCGAGGAAGCGAAAGAGCTGGACGAAATGAAGAAAATCCGACAAATCAAAGAGGTGTGTGTATGTGTGTGAGCGAGCGAGCGAGCGGGCATTGGCTCCATCTTCACCATCAATAAAATAACAAATCTACTTTCTCCCTCTCTTGTGTGTTTGCGTGCTTGCAAAGGCCGAGAAAGCTCAGCTCCTCGCCGCACCTGAGCAGATTTTAAAGGAGATTGCAGAGAAGCGCTCCAAGATGGAGTGAGTACCTGAGAACACGTTTCACAATCTGTGTCCAATAAGTGCAGGAAATGTTCCAAACGCTCGGGATATAAACTCGGGGAATGGGCTGCTTAGTCTCCTTCGGTCGAGGCGGCGCAAGAAAACAGAAATGGCTCAATTCAGCGCCTGATACGCTTTCCCCCTCTCGCTAAAAGGGGTTTGTTGCCACTTTGGAAGCGACGGTGTCAAGACATAACGAATGCCGCTTTTAGTGTCCCGTGTGAAATGCGAGCCTTCCTCATTTGCACAAATTGGCCTTTAGAGCCGCCGCGAAGACGCTGGAAGCGACGGACGCCCAGTTTGCAGGCGTCAGGCGGCAAGCGAAGGAGGCGGAGGAGCAAAACGATCACCTCAGGGCACAAAAGGAGGAGCTGGCCAAGGAGCTGGAGGCTCTCCGGGCCCGAGCGGAGGCCGGACGGAGGAAGTGCGGAGAGATGCAGAAAGAACACGACGTCGTCAGGGAGGAGGAAGCTGAGCTTCTGGGGCGCAGGTACACTTGACGTGCTTTGGATGTCAAACATCGAATACATGAATTGTTTGAGTTACTCTCTCTTGCTTACATTTTACATACACAAGAAACAGGGACCGCATTTGATTTTTGTCATTTAAAGTGAAATGATTCAAATTTTTTTTTTTTAAGCGTTCGCATATTTGTCACATGTATTTTTTTTTTTTATTTTTTTTTTTTACTGTCAGAGGGATCCTGGAAATGAAGTTGCAAAGCATCATGTGTGAGCAAAAGCTGCTTTGCGAGAGACAGTCCACGCAGCTTAAAGAGAAAAAAAGGTAAAAAAAAAAAAAAAAAAAAGAACTTGAACAACACGCCGTCTGGATGGAGGATTTGCTGATTTCCTGCCTATAAAATATTCTCCCCTTGCACCAGGGGAGGCATTTAGCCACGTCAAATTGAGGTTTTACACGCTACTATACGCTAACAATTGATTTTTTTTTCCCCCCCCCGGGACAATGCTGAGCATTGTGATGAATATTTCAAAGACCGCCGTTTGTCTCCGCAGGCAGATGCGGGCCTTCAAGAGGATGGAGCGAGCGCTGACCATGGCCACTGAACAGCTGCGGCACGCGCAATCCACCTGCGCCGACTTGCAAGCGCAGGTGATCTATCGTGCGATGTGTTTTAACGTTAGCAGCTCATTACCATCATTCTGTTAGCGCTATTATGACCGTACGGGGAACATGACAGGTGTTGGGAACGGTTTGGATTCGAAATTGTCGCTGTTCCTGTTATCAGGAACATTCAATTCATCCATTACGTCAGGGCCGTGTTTTTTGGGGATTTTTTTTCTCTGAAATCTTTCGGCTTCCTCTAATTTTACTGCTGCGAACAGTTTGTGAAGTGAAAGAGAGAGACCAGAAGGGGAATCGGGGAATAGTGTCAGCACTTCTCACACCTACGCAAAAGGAAATATGTATGACACGTCGGGGATTTGAAATATTTGGGAAATGTCGCAAACGAGAGGTTTCTGCAAATGCAAGCTTTGTTACGGCCAAGCGTTTTTTTTTTTTTTTTTTTTTTTTTTTGTTTTTAAGTTCGTTTTGCTGGCGTTCGTATTTGCACGGTACATCAACACGGCAGCGGTGTCATCATCTCTCTGCTTCACCCTTCCTTGATTTGATGTCAATTCCACAAATGGCTTCCACTTGCAAAGACTTTAAGCAGAATATGTCAACTGACGTTCTCCAGGCGCTCACAACAACGCACCGACTTTACTCTGTGACTCTCTGGCTTTCCATCCCCAGTTGGACGCTCTTCCGAAAAGAGGGCCCGCTCTCGCGCGGAGGATGGCGCTTCAGAAGGAAGTGGACGCGCTCAAAGTGAGCGTTGAAAAACAGGTGAGGGCGTGGGCGGGCGCAGCGCGATGTCGTTAGCGCTCCGCAACGCGTTGCCGCCTCGCTAATCCCACTTGCGGACAAAGGTAGCATTGTTTTGTCGTGTTTCTTTACACGCCTGCATAACTTAACAAATAGCAGCGCTGTCCAAAAGCTTTTTTTTTTTTTTTCAGCTAAGAACAATGCTAAGAATTCTCCCTCCTCCTCCCTTGCTAAGTTAACAAGAGCCGACAAGGCGAGCCAGAAGCAGCAGCAGTCTGGGATCATTCAGGAGCTGCTGAGGCAATCGGACGGCCTGAGAGAAGAACTGCATCACCTCCGATGTCTGACAAGCATCAAAGCAGAGGAGCGGGGCCAGAAGCACCGCGAGATGCTCAGAGCCGAGGTGCAACGAGCACACATGTTCACGTGAAACGTAATACGGTTTGAGTCGATGAATCAAAATTCTCCACCCAGACTGGCTAATGGTTAGCCAGCCGCTAACTTGAGCACACAACAGCTAACTGGTATGCCAGGGTTGAAATACATTTTTCATTTCTAATCAGGTTCTATTCATTTTGACTTGTGTTTTTTTTGTTTTTTTTTTTTATTCAGTTTGATTTAATTCTTGTTTTTTAATGCTTTGTTTAATTAGATTTGTTTAGTATTAGTTTTTCTTTTCATATATGGAGTGTGTCAAGTGAAAGATGAACAAAACAGTCACTCAATATTGTGTAAGAAAGTAAAGTATAATTCTCAGATGTACAGCGAATACCAAATAAATTGAAAATAAACACTAAAAGGTCATGTATCATAACAAAAACATCTTTTGTAAGTATAGTTAGTTTTTTAAACATAAGATGGAGTTTCAGTTAGTTTTCATTTTTGGCATCAAGCATTTTGGAGGCATTTAACAAAAAAATTGTTTTTTTCAGTTTTTTATTTTGTTTTGTTTTTAAATTTTAGTTGTAGTTATAAAAACACTCTCCTTGTCCGACACCCATGTCACTCACCGCCCCAGACTCCACCTTTTAAAACCACGCACACTCAAAGTCACAGTTACTCTAGTGTGCAACGTGCGGATGGTAAGCCCAGGTGGACCGTTTTTGTTCTGTCATGCACTCTTTTTCCCGATTCAATCTGTAGCGCGATCAATTCTAAAGCTACCCGACCGCCGCATCCCTGCTCATGTCTTCCCGCCGCCGCCAGCGCCATAAAACGCTCCACCTGTGTGATTGAATCCGTCCGCAGCAAATGAAGCGGCGCATGCAGCAGGAACTGCGAGAGAAGGAGCTCATCGTGATGCACCACAGCAAGCTGAGTGCCATGCTGCAGCGCAGGTGTCGCTCTTTTGTTTTTTTCCTCTTTGTCATTCCTCTACAGAGGCCCCGCCCCGCAATTCATTTAATGTTTGCGAGGGTGAGGACATGATCGATATGCAGCACACTCATGTGACCAGTTCACCTCAAAAAAAAACAAACAAAAAAACAAAACACGACTCATCTTTCACAATCTACAACGCTCACCTGACGCCAACAGGCAGCACTCGTTTAGAAGACATCTGTTGTCTGCGCGCCGATTTCAAGCCCGACCGAGCTGTTAATTAATCGTTCCCGTCTTCCTCAGAGTGCGACAATATGGCGAACTTTACGACGCGATCGCCGAGGAGAAGAATAAGTATGTCGAGTTGAAGCGGATCGCCTCGCACGCCCTCACGGAGTTGACGGAGCAGGCCAAGGTGCTGGAAAATGAGCTGGAGATCCGAAAGAGTATTGTCACCAAGAAGGACAGGTTGATAAATGACCGCGGATGGGATTTTGATAGATTCATAAATATCACAGAAAGTGATGCTGCATTTTTTTTTTTATTCAGTCTGCTGAGCAAAGCTCAAAAGAAGGTCTCCAGTAGCAGCAAAATGAGGGATAAGCTACGCAACGATATCAACAAGGTCTCCTGTTTTATTGATATTACGTTCTTTCTGTTTTTCAGAGCTGGATACTGATCATTTATTTTTTTTTTTCTTTGTTTAACATCCTGTAGGTTGCTCAGCAAAGACGTCAGGTCAGCCAGGAGCGCGAGGACAACGAAGTGGAGTTGCAGAGACTCCGGCAAGTGATCAGCCTCCAGGAGCAAGCGCTTCTCAACGTGAACAGGAACCAGGAAGGGGCCGTACAGCGGCGCAATTTTCTGTGCGTTGGTCAATTCGTAGCTACGGTTTGTGATTCAAACGGCGTGCGACACATCTTGTCCGTGTCGTCCCCCCTCCTCGCCCTCCGCAGCGGCATTCAGCTGCTGGAGCATGAGGAGGTGTTGTTCAACTACCAGGAGAAGGTCAACTCGCAGGAGGCGGCCATCGCCGCGGGCAACGAGGCGCTGGAAAACCTGGAGAGGGAAACCCGAGAGCTGAAGTCGGGCATCAGCGAGGCGACGAGGCAGCTCTGCTTCCAAAAAAAGGAAGTGCTGGTCCAGAAGAAGATGGAGGACGAGCTCGTCACGCTGCAGCTCGAGGTACTCCTCATCGGAAGTGCGTTTCACCAAAATGGTGCATTACCGTCAGTGCCCAGCATCCTTTTTTTTGGGGTTTTTTTTGTTTTTTGTTTTTTTGTTGTTGTTGTTTTGTGGACTGTGAGCTATATGGCAGCTCAGCTCGAAACTCAACCATGCGTCTGAAGCAGGTTAGATGACAAATGCGTCTAAAATAGTTTTCATGCATTTTGCTCCATTCGTAGCAGTCTGGGGGTTCCCCTCGTCGCACGCGGCCTCTCCCGCCGGCTTTTACATGGGAACCTGAAATTGGGAGAGACGTTTCTTGTTCTCCGGGGAGGCGGGGGGGCGGTTTCGATTGTTCTCTTGTAATGTCATCGCTACAATGACTCAGGACTACTTGACACTGAGAAATGTCCCTTGGCCTCTTTTTCACCTCGCGCCATTGCTAGGGATGATCCGCCGATGTTTAATAGCATAAACACGGGCTATTCTTCTGTCGTTACATCTGGCTGTCCTTCCAGCATATGCCAAATCTCCCCCCCCCCCCACCCCTCCCGTGTCAAATGGATCATCTTCCAAACTGCTCCTCTGACTGCGCGGGGGGGGGGGGGAGGGAGCCCCCCCTCCCGTCCCCCCCCCGCCTCACTTTTGACGGCAAATGGAGACAAAGATGGATGAGGCCATCTGCGGGACCATTGTTGTTCCATCCACGGCGGCTGTCATTTGCTTGGAATTTTAATCGGGGCAGAATAAACACAGACTGGCGTCGGATTCTGTGTGTTTATGAGCTGCTGGCATGTCTCTGGATTTTTTTTTTTTTTGTTTTTAAGCGGCATAACTCCCATGCAACAGTTCAAAACAGCCTCCCCCCCCAATCCCCCCTTGCCCATTTGTGGCACATGTCGCCGCTCCATCACTTCATTCTTCCAGAGAGGGGCGGATGACTTGCTGCACACTCCCTGCGGTGATGAGTCATACTGTGTCCGTCCCTCGATTTTCATCCAACCTGTCTGGAAATGGCGCGTGGGGAAATCCACAGTCGAGACACGTGGAGCCGGAAAGATACGGCAACAAAACGGGCTTTTTTTTTTTTTTGCTCTAAGCCATTTCTCTGGCGTGTTGTTTCATACCATTGGGGAGACATCACTTCCTGTTACTCCCCGCTGTCCGAAAAACTGTGACACCTTCAATAAAACTCACCGATAAGTCCGCTACAGGCAAAGAAAAACAAGATTTTATTCTCTCAAACTGTGCCGATTCCCAACACCACAAATATTCCGCATATTTTTTTTTTTGTTTCCTACCTCTGCCAATATAAAGCCTTTTTTAATTTCATGCATGGCCTGGGCCCTAGTTATCATTCTTTTAATGTGTTCTGAGACTTGCTTGAAGCCTGAGGTCCTGCGCTTTTTTTCCCCCCTCTCTAGTTCCTATCTATTCCCGACAACCAGTAAAAGAAGGCGTGCGGCGGGCGTCCTCATCAAGTAATTTGCCGGAGATAATCAGGCTCTTGAGTTGAAACTCCGCCCTTTTTTTTTTTTTTTAATCCAATTTGCCTTATCTGACATTTTTTAAAAAAAAGCAACACCGTGTGTTCGCTTTGCCTTGAAAAAAATCATGGCGGGGAATTTCGGAGCATCGCCTGTTGTTGCCATGGAAACTCGAGATCACTTACTTGAGCGGACTGTCGACTGGGGCGGCAAGTTGCCGATTCGAAATGCAAATTTTGGCCGGAAAGTAAATCCACTTCCCGACTGTAGGGCGAGCCCGAGAGCAAAATAAATGACGGTTTTAAAATTGTTAAAATTTGAGATGAACGAGAAAGCGTTCCTAATTGTGGAGCAATTAGCGAGCTAGCCTCGCCGTCGTCCCCTTTGGCCTGGTTTGGGAACTGTGATTGGCCTGGAATATTCGTCCAAATATTTTCTTTTGTTTTCTTTTAGTTCTGAGGAGACATGTGGCTCAAATGTGGTGCACGGCCGACCCGGTGAGAGATTTTTGAAGATGCAGGGGGATGATTTGTGTCAAGAATTGTGGGCTACACATGCTGTTGAGAGGTGCTTGCAGATGGCAGCACACAGCGGGGGATTACTTTTTTTTTTCCCCTTTGTCCTCCTCAAATGGTTCATTTATGAAGCATTCTTATGCCGGCAGTACTGTTACGGTACTTTGTTGCACCAGTGATATTGCGATCATTGTTTTTGTCAGATGTGGATATCGTCTTTGGAAATGTTGGCGGGTTATTATGGAAACTGGAGATAACCCAAATCTCTCTCTCTGTCAGCCCCAATTTTTGTTTTTCCTCACTTCATCTTTCATACTTTTGATTTCGCACCCCTTTATCAGCCGTTTGATGCGATGCATCTCCGCTTTATCTCCTTCCTCCGACACTCTCAGCGGATCCCCGCCGCCATCGCCGCGCGGCGCGCATGTTGCCTCTTTCCACATGACGCCCATATGATACGGAGGCAGCTGCATTTAACGGGCCGAGACGTCGCTTTGAATCAGACCAGCCGCCCGTTCACACTCGAGAGGCTTCATTAATCTCGTGAAGTCAGAGGAAATGGGAATCATCACTTTGTTCCACGCTGGCTTTCTTCTTTTTTTTTTTTCTCCACCACCTCCTTTTTTTATCTGCTGCACACACCTTCACACACGTTGCGATACAGGCGTGCAAAACACGCATAATCCGCGTGGTTGAGTCGCTGTTTCATAAGACGGGTCACGCCGGGTCACGACCGCCTGTGTCTGGCTTTTTGTTTTCACACCCTGTTTTTCCTCCTCCACCTCATCCCCAATTTCTGTCTTTCCGGTTGCCTCCTCAAGGTTTCCTGCATGATCCCCGGCGGCATCCATAAATATTTTCTGCTGTTGATGTTTTTTTTAATGTATCCATATGATTTTTTTTTTTACTCCTTGTTTGTATTTGCATCATGTGTTTTCATTGAAGATAAAATGACCGGTAGAAGATCATCAGAACTTATTAATTGGTGCCATGACCCGGATACAGTTCCAAATTACATATAAACCCTTAAGTGATTATTTAATCCTAAAGAATAGATTATAAGAGTGTCAGAATTGCTTCAATGTTACCATTTGAACTCCACTATTCATTGGGAAATTTAATTTGTTTGGTTGACTGTTGGTGGGTCAAAAAGCTTACGCAAAATTTGTTTCCGCTTGCATCTTCACAATACAGATGTTCGAGGTCAGAGACAAGACGCTGGATAATCTCACCAAAACAGCAGATTACAACGAGCTCAAAGGCACCGATCCTTCGTCCCCCGAACTGGTCAAGAAGATCGAGAAGGTACGCCGCAACAAGTTTGCACAGGCGGACATTTTCATTTTTAAAAGATGTCGCGTTGTCTCCCGTTGTAGCTGGAGGCCAACCTTGCCGAGAGGGAGAGGCATCTTTTGGAGAAAGAGCTCATCGTGGATCAGGTGACACGTCTCTCCAAGAATCTCCAAGAACAGAATGACAACTGCAAACCAGACAAACTGTCGCTGGCCAAGAAGGTAAAACTCCCAAGATGACGCACGCATGTACCTCGTCGTCACGCGTGTCCCCATGTTGCCAGTTGAATGAGCTGCGAAGCCACATCATCGACACCAGCCGCCGCTTGATGGCGACGTCCGCAGAACTGTCGATGAAGCAGGCGGCCGTCTTGTGCCTCCAGCAGGAAGTCAAAGAGAGAGAGCTTCAGGTCAGAGTGGATTTGTGATCCTGCAGCCTCCTGATTCTTATTGGGGGGAGTGGGGGGCGGCGGCTAAAGTGTGGCCTGAAGTCAAAAAGCCAGACCAACTGTGGTGGAGTTCTTGATTGATTGAGAGCTTGCAGTTTTATAAAAACACAAGACATGGAGGAGCGTGAAAGCAATGGATATTGTTAATAATTTATTCTTTTCTTGGGGCACTGCTTCTCAATGATTTTCTGAAACACCCCCCCACCCCCCAACTCTCCGCGTGCTATAGTCTAATTTGTCTAGAAATGTTAGAAATACACGTTTGCATAATATTGTGTCCTTTTTAACATGAAAGAAAAGAAAATACGATTTTTAAAAAGTGTATCAATTTGCCTGCAATTAAAAAAATAATAATAAAAAAACAAGTGGCACTGCCACCTACTGTAGTGCATATGCAATTTCACTTTCACACAAAAAGAAATTAAAACCATATTCCCAAGGCACACATCCCACTGTTTGAGAAGAACTGGGTGAGAAAGTGAGGCGCGGAGAGTCTCTGTTGCCGAAATAATATCTTCGCTTTGCGGCAATCCGCTTCTCCCTTGATAATCGTGCCATGTTTTTGTGGTTGAATAAAAAAATAATACCGTTGGGTATATTGGATATGTAGCCTCAAAACACGATGCAGGCAGATGTTTATTTTTTTCCATTGCGGTGCCAAGGTAGGTCTGCAACGTTAGGTGTCCATGTATTGTTTTTCAATTGCTGTCATCATCATGAGCTATTTTTTTTTCTTTTACTCAAGCCATAAAATCTTATTTTGATCGTGCATCATTGACTTGAAAAGTAAAAACTGAATTTTATGTCACAGTTTGTGCTTTTCACTCAAGTGCCAGAGTTGAATCAGTACTTCTACTTAGGTATTTTTTATTTTTTTTCCGCACAATTATCTGGCTCCTGACTGAGTACTTGTGCCAACCCATGCCCAAGTAACGGCAATACAAAGTCAATTGAATCCGTGTTCTTTTATTGTCGTGTGCCTCCAGATGGACAGATGCCAGAGGCGCTTGGAGCAAGGCCTGCCGCCCTGCCCTGAGATGGAGGAAGAATGGAGGAGGATGCTGCGGGACAAGAAGAGGAGACAGCGAGACAAAGAGGAGCGAGAGCGGGTAAAGAAATAACCCTCGTAAAGATCGTTGGTCAAGACTTGATTAATGCGCCTGAGGGAGAGGAGGACGAAAAGAACGGAGACAAGACGCGAGGCAGGAATTGATTCAAGCTGTAAGGCAAATAAAAATTCAAGCCTCCACCTGCAAATTAGAGAGGCGGACAATACGCGATTCAAAGCTCATGATTGAGCCACTTTAAGTATTTAAGCTGGTCCTAAAACGCCTCTCAAACTTCCCCAGTTCAGTCTGCTTCCTGTCTATCTGTTAGCAATCCATGCGTCCTGACCCTCCTCCGGTTTTGAAGCGAATATTTCTCGTGCCGGGCAATAATCCATTCCTATGCTTTGAAGTCTCTGGTATTTCAGCTCACCTCATTTCCATGCTGCATGACTGAGGTCATGGGAGCATGGTTGCTTTTTCCTGCCTGAGCAGAAACTTTGACCCACTTACCAAAGACGCCGTGCCGGACGTACGGAATGCTCGACATTATACGTTCGTCTTCATTCTTGGGTATTTGTTCCTAAATCCGTTCGATGTGTTTGAAGATAATGGCGTGTTTCGTAGTTATAACGACAAGGTCCAAACCTGTTAGCGCGCAAGCTAGCTAGTTGGTGGTTGGAGAATGGCTTTAAGCGAAGATCGACACGATCCGTAAAGGTCAAAAAGCTGAGACAGGTGTTTGAAACAGTCAATGTTTATCTAGTCAGGCCCCTTAGGTAAGAAGCTGGAAACTCACGGTGGTTTGTGAATTCATAAATGTGAGTCACAACACGCACAAATCCTTTGCAGAAAATGCTTCCAAATTCTTGTGGTGAAAAGTACATCTGGGTCAGAGCTTGGGCAAATGGCTTTAATGAGCCAGAAGATCACGCATGGCACCTTAATCACAACCCCCGCTGTGGTGTTTGTTCACTCTCCACTGAAAAAAACGTGTTCCGCACGCTTGAGAGAATAACAAAAAACAAAACAAAAAAAAAGTCCAGTAACTGATGCGAGATATATTTTGTTATTCCGAGCACTTGCATTTGTTTTGACGTATCACAAATATTGAATTTATTATTCCATTTTCGTGATTATACTTTGGCAAAATTGAATTTCAGCTCGGCACTCCAAGGTCACGCATCAATATTAAAACGTTGCTCGCCGTGTGTGTGTGCGGGCAGCTGGCAGACGGCGACGAGTGGAAGCGGTTGCCGAGCGGACAGTACACCACGGCGGCGGGCCGCCCCGACGCATACATCCCCCACGCGGACCCGCTCCCTCTGCCCAAACCCTACGGCGCGCAGGCCCCCTTCAAGCCCTGCCAACCAGGTGCCAACATGAGACACATCCGCAAACCGACACATCTCAAACCCTTCGAACTGTAGGAAAAATAGACCCGCCCCCTAAAAAAAAAAGAAAAATCTAAATTCCACTATCTCTTAGCACTGTGCCTCCCTTTTAGCATACCTGCTCTAATTAATTGCTCCATGGCCGCATCTGCTTGTAATTGTGTTCTCCATTTTTTTTTTCTGTATATACAGGCAAGAGCTTGTTGACATTGCGTTTGTCTCGAAACGAGAGTGTGAGGGGAGTCTTCTTGCAATATATTCCCATTTTTGTCTCGTAATGTGCGACGAATGCATCGCAGAGGGTTTAAGCCCTGAGCTTAAAGCCTCAAAGGAGAAATGTAAATACGGAGGGGATGATCACACAGTGGAAGAGAGTAGACAATGATGAAAAAACATGGGGGAGGAATTCAAGGTGGTGCCAAAAGGAATAAGGACACTCGAAATATTCACTACATTCCCAGATTCTTCGTAGCTTGTGGAAAAAAAACTAAAAATAAAGTCACGTCACTAAATTGGTGTTGCTGTTGTGCATCAGTGATTCAGACTTTATTTTTGTTCTTCAGACAGTTGCCAGGGGTGGAGTAGCTCCACATGTTATTATTCTGGAAGTGCATTTGGATCTAATCATGAGATGACGTCTGGTCAAAAGTTGCCGGGAACTTACATATTAAACTCGGAGAGAAGTTTCTGGAATACATTATATTGGATACATTCGTGAAAGTAGCTTACAATTCTGGATGTGGTTAAAGACAACTGAAAGCTTTTATTTTTCTTATTTTCATATTAGCTTTGTTGCCAATTCCTAAAACTGAATACCTCACAAAGATAAAGAGAGATTTGACACGACATTGGCATAATGCGCTACGTTAGCTGGCCAAGCAGTTAACCAAGTAGCAGTGATTGGTTACACCTGATATCATTTCATCACCATTTATCATGATTTTTTTTTGAACAAGCAACATAAAACACAGAAGAATCGTTGGTGTATTGGAAAAAGCTAAACGTGTAAAAGTGAAAACTACAAAGACCAGGAAGCATGTTTAGCCAAGGAGCGATAGATGCTAACTTTTTAGCTCATGTTCAAGCTTTAGACAGAGAATATGACACTGACTTCTACTTATCCCCGCAACAAAATTCCATTTTGCGGAGTTTTAAAACAAAGTCATGTGTTGAGAAACTATTTGTCAAACTTGTTTGTGGAATGTATTGAAGCTAATAAAAGAGCAAGTAGCTAACAATTCTTGATGGGCTCAGGTTACTGGAGGCCGATAGCAACATATATTTATTAATTTATATTATTTTATCAGTTCTTGCTGGTAACTTGTAAAGCTGTTAAAATTACCCTCGTGGAATTTTCTGCTCAGTCATACGGTAATTCCTCTCTTACCGTCTGCATAAATGACCAGTTATCGAAACATACAAGTATATGACAATAAATTTGAGAATCTGCTTAAGATATGTCAAAACGATGCTTTAACTGAGTGTTTGAATCCATACTCATTTCTTAAAAATGAGAACAAACTTGCGCTAACAGCTAACATGTTAGCGTCTCACACGCAACAGAGCACCAAAGGGAAAAGGACAGGTCAATGAAGTTAATTTAGTAAGATATTGTGTTCGGGAGTAATGGTGTGTGTGATCACGCATTGTTGGCAGCTGCTGAGAGCTGTCGGATTAATTTAGTGCCAACAGTGTTTGGGCTTCATTAGGCGATTACATAACACTGACCGGACGGGGGCAACGACAGCGGAAACCGCAAATTCCCGCTTAAAGAATCGAACTTCCGGAAAAATCTTTTTGTGGAAGCACACTGCGCGAGGTGTTTGATGAAGGTAACTCAAGTTGTTTCCTGACTGCCATGCAAACTTCCAAATGTATCTGGAGATGTTTTCCAGTACAATCAAAGTTCATTGGACTCATATTAACATGGGGGGGAAAAAAAAAACTCAGTGGAGACAAAAAATTTGGTCCCTTTTTATTCAAACTCAATAGAATGTTTGGTATTTCACTCCCACAAATATCAACGCATACCACACACGTTTTCCTGAGACAGCTTAAAATAAAAAAAACCTACAATGATTCACCGCTAACAGTCACATGATTCAAAACAGACCATCGCATACGTGTCTTTCTTTTCATCTCCTTTCAGTTCCTCTTGTTTGACGTTGCACTTTCCCAAAAGCATTTGCTCGACATCTTTCTGCAATGTGTTGTGCAAATCAATGTCCGCCCAGTTGCTTTGTTCCCTCAATATCTCAAGCATGAGACGCGTACCCAAATATTGGAACAATGTGTGACACTCAAACGATGACAGGAAATAGTCCAACATGATGCCGAACAATTACGGTGCAGAAATCGGTCCAAATAAGGACCTGGTCTTTTTATTTAGCATCTTTCTTGGACACCACATCCAAGCTGAGAACTTTGTCACAAGTTAAAAAAAAAAAAAAAAAAAGACTCCCAAATGATTTCCCTCATCACTGACCAAATGGCACTCACTAAATTTCGAAAATAATAGCTTCATCTTCCATCTTTACATTCCCCGCCAGTCTGTCCCGCCGCGCTCCGCATTATCTCCTCATTTAGATTTGCTCGGAAGTAATAATTGCATCTCGTTTTAAAATGTCCCCGGCCATTTGTCCGATGCTGACTGCCGGCCCGAGCATCTGCTCGTGGACCGAGTCTAAAAACGTTTGAACGTGACCGGGACCAGAAACTGCAAAGTAACTCATCCATAATAAAACTCTACCGTCAGCAAGACTTACAGAAAGTGTGCGCTTGATTCGTCCGTACGGTACAGCGGTGCCTTGAGGTCCGAGCGATTGAGTGAATTGAGGTCCGAGCAAATCAACTCGCAAACACGCAGCGGTTTGCCAGATAATAAACAACTCTTGAGGCTGTTTATTTCCACTTGCAGTTGATTTGTGAGTTGACTCTCAAACTAAACTGAAAACAGACAATTGTGTACTTGAAAAAAAAACAAACAAACCGGTAGCTTTAAGTCTGATTAGCGTCATGGTAACAAACAAGCTAAAAGGCCAAATAGGGGCTAACAAATATACATAGATGAAAACAAAACTGGGCATGTATTCTTTATCCCCTGCGAAGAATGACTGTTCTGCCCAAGCGCACACACCAGGAGGAGCAGCGCAATTTGCATTGAATTGAATGGTTTCAATTTTTGATCTCATGAGGTTGTGCAGTCTACAGCTAACTATGTATTGTAAGAGGACGTGCAAAGATTTTGATGGTTTGTTTATACCGTTGTTTTGATTTAACAAACACACACACACATACACACACACACACAAAAAAAGCTTCCTTGACTTGAATTAAAATGTAAACGTGTAAAAAAATCCTCTCATCCTGCCAACTCGCGGCCTCCATCTTCCCATTCATCTCTCCCTGCTTGCTCCCTCGCTCTCGTTATTCATCATTGCTCCTTGTCTCCCATCAATCTACGCGTTGTCTCCCTCCCCATCTGTCCTTTATTGTTATTCATTTATTTTTGCGGCAGGGTTCATTTTGTCTCAAAGCCCAGCAGAATGAGTGTCTGTTTCAGAGCGGTCTCCTCCACAAATGCGGCGTCCACGTTCTCCCGCTCCCCGAACGGGTTCAGAGCTGGAGCGCAGGAAGGAAAAAGCGTCTTGTGAGAGGATTCGGGCGTGAGAGAGGCAACCCCGCCGGCACATCCGCGCCCACATTACCTTGCTCCTCGATGTCAGAAAGTACTTTGGCCAGGTACGTCAGAGGCAGGAACTCTGTTCCGAAGTCTGCTTTGTCTCTGCCGGTGAAAGCAAATCCCTGCTGAAAGACAAGTGGGGGGGGGGGGGGGGGGGGCGAAAATGCTACTGACTTTTGTGTGGGGAAAAATTTTGGAATCCGTGATGTCGATTACTTTGTTTTTGTTGCGTCTCCCCAGCAGATTCCTGACGTAATCTCTGGAGATGGAAGCCGAACTGACGGGATGATCCCACATATGGTAGAATCTGTTGGCCTACACACACACACACACACACACACAAAAAAAGAAATGACAGTTTTGAAATGCGCTTCTGCAAAATAAATAAATTAAGAAATAAATGGCCCAGGAGAGTCTGACGGCGTCCCTTTTCATTTTGGGGCTTGTGAAATACCTTGCTAATATTTAATACTAAAAGCAAAAACAAACGACGACGCTCCATCAGTCACGTTGATACAGAGCTGCGTTGTGCTTCTATTAACTGCGGCCACACGCTCGCGTTCGAGCCCATTAATCAATGTTTAATTATTTTATTCCCCCCCCCCCCAGATGAATATTTGAAGCCCGTTGGTGAAACTTTGCACCTAAATTATTTACGACACCCGGCCTAGGTATCTCGGTCTGACCGGCCCGGTTTGACGCGGCTGCAAATTACAGCCCCCTCCCGGAATGGCATGCAAAAATAAATCGAGACCAACGAAACGGAACGCGATAAAACGCGACTGCCGAGATTTGTTGCATCGGACGCATTTGCTTTCACTCTCGTAAGGGTGCCTAATAAATTAGCAATCGAGAGAGGAATTTTCCAAGATGGATTGATAGATTCACGTGTGTGTGTGTGTGTGTGTGTGTGTGTGTGTGTGTGTGTGTGTGTGTGTGTGTGTGTGTGTGTGTGTTTTGCACCCATCCCACCTCCCAAACTCACCCAAAAAGCATCTCAGACTAGCAGGAAACAGAACACGGACACAAAACACTCGACATTCCTCTAATCACGATGCGGACAGGGGGCACACACACACACACACACACACACACGCATTAACATACTGTACGCACAACACACTTAGCACGTGGACGTTACACAATAGACACACGGCGGTGGACCACTCCCAAAGATTTGGCCACAAAACTCCCGACACACACACCATCGTTGGTTACACAAGTGGTGTTGTGATTGTTGCGCGAGACCGAAAATAACTCGTTTCAGGACCTCGAGACTACCTGGCTCCTCGCAGGCACGACAGGTGGCGATAAACAAACGTACCTCGGGAAGTCGCTTCAATACGCCGAACTTGAGTCTCTCGTTGGCGGCGCTGTTGTCCAAATCTGTGCGCACAAGAGATGCAAATGGGAATCCACTGAGTTGGACCGACGTCGGCAGGGAAAAGCAATCGAGAGTTGCGATCGGTACCTGGTTCGATACGACTACAGCACGTGTCAAACCCAAGGCCCGGGGGCCAGATCTGGCCCACCAGGTCAGTTTATGTGGCCCGCGAAAGCAAATCACGTGTAACAGAGCTGTACTGAAATGTCAAATTGTCATGTATAATAAATAACATTGAGATTTTGAAATAATTTTGTTACCCCGTTTACCCTCACTTGAACAATAATCGAGCAAATTATTTGAATCGACTGATTTCAAAACTACAAATCTATTAATTTGTTGTGTACAAGTAATCATTTTGTGGTTTCACTGTCACAACGGCCCTCCGAGGGAAGACGTAACTCCCAACTTGGCCCGCGACTAAAACGAGTTTTGACACCCGTGGACTACAGAAAAGTTGGGCTAATGCGTTGATGGCACTCCTGAGGAAAACCGGCGTCCATGCTGTAGTGTATACCTTCCCAATATGGCTGCCATAGGTGTAATGTTCAACTGTGCATAATATTACACCACCTTGAACTTTTTTTTTAAAATCCAGTACAGTACCGGTACATTTCTTAGTTCAGTTTCGCTGTCCCTGAAAAAGTTCAATACATTTTCATGTTTCCACTTGGAGGCCGTCTTGCTTTCCAAACACTGCTGTACGTTGCGCACCTGTCATGAGTCTTGACACAAAGGTGTCCGTGAGCCGGAGGAAGCGATGGTCCACGTATTGTAGGAAAGTGCGTTGGGGTAGGCAGCGCAAAGCCAATGCCGCTAGCAGAGTGTGATAGCCTGACCAAAAAAAAAAAAAAAAAGCAAGCAACAGATTAGTGCGCTTATGATTACGCAACCGGGAACCTGACGCAGCACGGCTGACTAACAAGCGAGTCACTCAAGATGCGGACGTTGACCCCGCTGTGATTAATTACATATTTTTTTTGTTGTTGTTGTTGTGTGTGGGTAGTACCAGGTGGGAGCGGCATGCAGAGACCCCCGGTGGCTTCCAGGATCCGAAGCATGAAGTGAAACACAGCCCACTCGCCCGGACCGGCCCGCTGCGTGCTGGAGCCAGAGAAATTCGGACATGGGAGGCGTTGCGAAATCACACACATGCCGATTTATATTCAAGTAAGAGCACTGCCTTGATGTTAGATGATGACTTAAGTCAAAAGTCATGTGGAATGGTTGCGCTCGAAAGGGGGAGGGGCTACTCACAAGCACAGAACATGAGGGCCCAGCTTGTGCTTCAGCCAGACTGACTCCAGCATGTGTCTAATCAGCTCCAGCTACACACACACACACACACACACACACACACACACACGCACCCTTCATTGTTTGGAAAAGTGGTTCAATTATTTTCGAATGAAACTCTAGCTTGAGGCAAAGGCGGGAATTTGAGCAAACATCTTCAAGGCGGAAACCAACGCGACTTGCCGCATCTTTTGACATCTGTGGCCCTCGTTATTTATTTGGTAATTTTTTTTTGGGGGGGGTGGGGGCGCATCTCAGCACAGCTCGCTGGTCCGTCTGCTCGCTTCCCTCTTTCGAAAACCGCGCTTCCCGTTCTCATTTCCACCCTAGCGTGTGGGTGGACGCGCGGAACGGGCACGCCAGCCGGCACATCCGTTGGCCATGCGTCTTTTGGCATTTGCGGGGTCACGCGATGGCGCTCGATGCGACTAAAACATGTGCTCAATCAATGACACAAACACACACACGATCTCTGACTTTCGAGATATAAGCCGTCATATAGACTTTTTTTTTGCCTTGACTTAAGAGCAAATAGTTGAGATATGATTAGATTCAACTCGCATCACAACAAGCAGTGATGATTTATATGGGATGACCTTTTTTTCCCCCCTAACAATCAGATTGGTTCTTAAAAATAAATAATTTCATTCGGTTTCTTAGGTGATCGTGTCAATCTTTTGCTAATAATATTTTCCGGAATGCACCGTGCGCGCCAATGTTGTCATTGCAAGTGCACAAATGTTAGCCGAGACCCCGGATTGCTGTTGTTGGAGACTCGTTTTGGTTATTCAGATAACAAAAAGTTTCGGCTCCTTCGGCTGACTAATATTGACGCTGAAGAGCAAAGTAGTAACCTTCATCATCCGCAAGAGTCTTCCTCCTGCGGAATTCAAACCTCCCCGGCCGATTTCAAAACACAACTTTCAATATGTATTCAGTGACTCCTCGCTTGGTTTTTGCGCTGCATAACAACAAGCAATGTATCCCCGTTGTCCGTAGCAACGGGAGGGGAGTGGGGGGCGGCGCAGGGAATAAATAACTATGACAAGAATGTAGTGCGGAGTCGCAATCTATCACGGCAGAACTTCCTGGCTCTTTAAAAGCCGTAATCTATTTCGCCCTCCTACCAACTTGTGTCAATGCCACCATTAGTCTCAATAAGCAGCAAAGGGGGGGTAGAGATCCGGAGGGCAGTGGTCTTTTGTTTGTGGAGTGGACATTTGGCCGCAGTTGTCCAAATGAGGGTGTGTTGGGTGCGGGTGTGGGTGTGTGCGGGTGTGGGGCGGCATCCGTAACTGCTCATTTTTCCCCTTGTCGTTTCCAATTCCGTGTCATCTGCATTCCAGCCGGCGCGGGCGGTTGTGTTTTCATCCCCATTTGCTTGTTTATCAGCGAGATTTAAAAAAAAAAAAAAACGACTGGACTCATTTCCATAAAACTTTTGCGTCAAGTGGCGCTCATACCAAGGGGCATTACATTTTGGGGCGGAGCCAAGGTCTGAATCGAGCATCAATCTTGATGACAAATAGGTGCATGTGAAGGTATACAATCGGATTTTTTTTTTTTTTCCGTGTTGGCTCAGAGGTCTTTAACTGGGCTCGGCGCCATTCACAGTTCTCTTGTTTTGATAAATGTCACATTGTCTACTCTGGATGCTTTGTCGCCGTGAATGCATTTACCTTCCAGGAATATTAAAACGCTCAGTCGCACCAATTTACATCCTTTCAGCCAGAAATCACAATATGGAAATCATTTCCTCAAACATCATCTTAAGCAATCCCTGGGAGTGATTTTCAACAAAACAAAAATAACAAAAAAAAAAAAAAACGCCAATAATTTGTCACAACTAGCAGCTACTAACCAGTTTGGCGACATAGTCGATAACCAGGGAATCGATCTTCTTCTTGCCCAGGCGAGGCAGATGCGTGTTCAGATGCTCCCTTAGCATCTCCGCCGTCTACAACAAACACAAAATAAGTCAACGCACGCACACACACGCACTGTTTGGGCTGACGTAGATGAAAGCCGAGCGGCGGGAATAGATGGAAGCGGGCGACCGGACGACCGGGGTCATTCTAAGAATAGTTCAAGAGGCGCGCAAACGTCTTGTCTGAACTCTTTAAAACGGAAGCTATCTGCAATTTTGGAATCGCGCTGAGCACGGGCAAAGCCGCGGGATAAGAAATTGTTCATCAGACCGTTTGAAGAAACATGAAACAGTTCCTTTGAAAAAAAATATAAAATGGTGGCCGATCTGATTATGTGACAAAAGTTCACCAGATAACACGAAGCGGGGAGGGGAAAAAAAAATCCTTTTTACTCCCCATTTGCTTGTTTATCAGCGAGATTTAAAAAAAAAAAAAACGACTGGACTCATTTCCATAAAACTTTTGCGTCAAGTGGCGCTCATACCAAGGGGCATTACATTTTGGGGCGGAGCCAAGGTCTGAATCGAGCATCAATCTTGATGACAAATAGGTGCATGTGAAGGTATACAATCGGATTTTTTTTTTTTTTCCGTGTTGGCTCAGAGGTCTTTAACTGGGCTCGGCGCCATTCACAGTTCTCTTGTTTTGATAAATGTCACATTGTCTACTCTGGATGCTTTGTCGCCGTGAATGCATTTACCTTCCAGGAATATTAAAACGCTCAGTCGCACCAATTTACATCCTTTCAGCCAGAAATCACAATATGGAAATCATTTCCTCAAACATCATCTTAAGCAATCCCTGGGAGTGATTTTCAACAAAACAAAAATAACAAAAAAAAAAAAAAACGCCAATAATTTGTCACAACTAGCAGCTACTAACCAGTTTGGCGACATAGTCGATAACCAGGGAATCGATCTTCTTCTTGCCCAGGCGAGGCAGATGCGTGTTCAGATGCTCCCTTAGCATCTCCGCCGTCTACAACAAACACAAAATAAGTCAACGCACGCACACACACGCACTGTTTGGGCTGACGTAGATGAAAGCCGAGCGGCGGGAATAGATGGAAGCGGGCGACCGGACGACCGGGGTCATTCTAAGAATAGTTCAAGAGGCGCGCAAACGTCTTGTCTGAACTCTTTAAAACGGAAGCTATCTGCAATTTTGGAATCGCGCTGAGCACGGGCAAAGCCGCGGGATAAGAAATTGTTCATCAGACCGTTTGAAGAAACATGAAACAGTTCCTTTGAAAAAAAATATAAAATGGTGGCCGATCTGATTATGTGACAAAAGTTCACCAGATAACACGAAGCGGGGAGGGGAAAAAAAAATCCTTTTTACGTTGGCCAGCGTTCATTCCCATAACCTTCCACGAAGGACACTGACGCTCTCAAACTGGGATTATATTTCAGAGATTGACATCATAAAATTGTTAATTCATCAATCGTCGAGAGTGAGAACATCGTCTGATGAAAAAACACGTGCTGTTTTTTTAAAAATATTTAGAACACATTAGTCGTTGTTTTGAAAATAACGGTTAGCGAGTTTTGGGCAGTTAGCCGAACAAGTCGTCTCGAAGTTGGACGGATGAATGTTTGTGGATGATTCATATCTCTAAATTCTGACATAGCTTCACAGAATCTCGCTTTCTGTAAAATCAAAAAAAGAAAATTCAGTGTTGAAAGACGCAACAGTCGGCGACTCCCCGTCGCTTGCAATGGAAAAACTTTTTGAGTTTCTCTACATCCAGTCTTATTTTCCATTGAACCACAAAACCATGGTGCGATTGTCAAGGAAGAAGCAGATTACCCCAGCCGCTGTAGCTCGATTATAATACAAAGCGACGACTCAACGCAAATAAAGGCGAGACAATAGATATTTGAAGAGGCTATTAGCAATGTTAGCCCCATTCATTGACTGACGCAGGCTCTCCACGCTTTGCTTTTTAGCCACGGGTCCATACGAAATTATTGTACAGCACCCATTTCCTCCAGTCCACTTGGACCTGCCGACGCAGTTGTGGTTGCCGCCAGTAATCGTTTGATTCGCTCTTCTCACCAGGCCTATGAGCAGCCTCTGGTGGTGATCCTCCTCTTGGAAAAGTGGCACCAGCTTCCTGTCTGGAGGCGACGGGAGAAACGTTGGGATGAAAAAAACGGCACACTTCCCAAGTCTAAGGTAGGGCCTGTACAATTCAGCTCATGAACCCGGTCATTATTAGCAATGGACGTGAAAAAAAGAAATAAAATAAAAAGAAAGAGAGAGAGAAGCCTTAAGGGGAGAGGAGGATTGTGGGTAATCTAAGGCATTAATGGATTCTTTTTGGGGTGTGTTTTGGCTTTGAAAAAAAAAAAAACATCATAACGTTTGGAAAGGGGAGGGGGGAGTTATGGAACTGCGCTGCCTGCTGTGAGCAGATGAATAATTTCACACTTTCATATGTAATCTTTATTTAATCACGCATACGCAAGAGGCGGCCTTTCTTGATGTGTCCTGTCTAACAACTTTGCAGCGCGCGGCATGCAAGCGGCTTTGTGGGCACGTTTTATTTTCAAGCCTGTAGGTAATCGGTCTCGCTAGCGGAAACGTTAGCATTAGCCGCCTATTGCCATAGCGACACGCCGCATTCGCTTTGGGGCAAGAACACTCGATGTTTGCCAGCTTTGAGACACGGCTATGTAAATGTTTTACGAGTGAATCTGTTCATGTTGCACGGCTACTTTTGGCGTTCCCCGAGGGTTTTTTTCTCTCCTTTTCCATTTTGCACAACAGACATGACGTTTTAGAGATGAATGGGGGGCAGGGGAGGGGGGGAAAGCCTCCGGTTTGATGAATAACGAATGGGTGACTGATGGAGTTGATCAGATGCTAATCAAATTTTCACACTCGTTCCGAAGACACGCAACGTGATGACACCGTTTAAGCCTGCAATTGAGCCACTGAGAACTAGAGTGTGCTGAATCCATTTTTGGTCATTTATGCAGGCGAGTGATTTCACATTTTATGGCGGCAGTAAAATCTGTGGGGGGCGAGGGGGGGGCGGCGGTTATATCGTGGTGATTTATCGGGCAAGAATAGTTCCTGTTGGTGCTTATTTTTTTTACCGGCGTTGTGGTTCACTTCGGGTTTTGGCATTTTATTTTAAAAAATAGTTTATATATAATGAATACTTTTTTTTTTAATTTACATGTGATATAATATTTCATAAATCATTTAAGTTATGCAATCGTGGTCAAAGTCCAAATGTCAAATCTATCAATACTTCATGAAATGAGAATATTCACTCAGGCTTGACTTGCACATTTTGTGCGAGTCATTAAAAAACATTCAGTCGCAAAATGGAATTTCGGGGGGCGGGGTGAAATGAAGGCATTAAATATGAAGCAGTAATTTAATTATCACACCATCGGTAGATGAAAAATAGATATTTGTGGAAATTGGTCACTCGTTGTACTTTACAATTTGTCTCTATTTGTTTCTGTACTTCACTTAAAATGACCCAAAAAAATGAAGTTTACCTAAAGTACTTGTCAGTAGCCCCTTTTTTTTTCCCGAAAAACCAAAACAACATGAAATATGTTGGCTATCTGGATTCCATTATCGCCTATGCGCTGCTATTTCAATGCGTGTTGTGGTAGTCGGCATACCCGATGAGATCAGACTGTATATAGTCATAAATCAAACGACGCGAAGATTTTTTTGGCTTTGATACTCAACAGCTGTGCAAGGAGGCGCAGGACTGGGAGCGCTGTTAAATAATCTCAGCATTCTGGACCGCTCCCACATTCTGTGACTTCATTTTTCTTTCCCCCCCCCTTTTTTATTCCTCCCCTCCATGTTTGCGCAAAGATAAGTGTGGCGAGGTGAGTTTTGTCGCATTCCCCATTCGCCACGGACAAATGTGACCCCCAACACACTGGCGGGTTTGTTGCACGAGTGTTTGCATCTTGCCTCCGCTGTCTTACCGAAATGCCGAGCGTCCACCAAACCAAGGACCCTAAAAAAAAAAGACGGAAAACACATCTTTGTCAACCCCTAAGCAACATCTTGTGTTCAAATGTGCTTCAAAATCAATTAACGTCCTTCCTCTGATGTGGCGTAATCATCATTCCTGAACATCTGAAGATTGTTCAAAAATAGCAGCTAGTAAAATGTTGACCCCCCCCCCCCACGCCTCCAAATGTGAACATTTGACCCCCAGCCGCTTCATGTGTACATAGAAACAATTTCCAAGAGAGAATAAAAGCGGCCCTACTTCTTCGCGTTCTCCAACATGTGAGTCATGTGGCCGGACGGTTTCTCAGTCATCTAGAAGAAGAGAAACAAGCATGAAAACGGCCACACAAATACTCTCGGCGAGTTTTGATGCGAGAGCATTTTACAAGTTTGCTCCAGTAGGCTTGAACATGCGAGGTCCTGTATCTGGGCTCGGGATCCACCTCAAAATACGTTGTCCTCTCCGCGTTCCACTGCAGCTCTGACCAGAAGCCCGGGAGACTCCTGGCCTGCGCGAAGTGGCAAGAGAAAAAAATAACAAACTAAAATAAACACACGATCAGAATTTAAATTTCACATGTGCCATTACCTTCCCTTTAAAGACGCACTCGGTATGCAGCTGAGTGGTGCACAGCACACCGGGGATCTCCGTCAGGCACGCTGGCACCTCCTGCAAGGCCCGAAAGGCTGAATTCACCAGGTGCGTGTATTCCGCACTATGAGGCGCTTCGGATTATGAGGCGCACGGAAAAGAAGCTACAATAGTGGCTGCGGTTGCGCTATGCATCCACTAGATGGAGCTATACTAAGAGAATACAATACAATAAAATACAACTTTGTATATAAGGCGCATCGGAATGTAGGCTTTGGAGAAAACTGAATGCTAAGTGTGCCCAAGAGTGCGGAAAATACGGTAAAATAAATGGGGCGGCACGGTGGAGGCTACCTTCATGTCGAATACCGTTGAGCAAGGCAGCAGCTTATCCAGGCTGAGGGACCTTTGGTAGCTTAGTCTGTATAAAGATGCTGTAAAAAATAAACCACATTAACTCGAGTCGCTTTCTTCAAAGTTGTTAAAAAGAGGCATGTGACTTTCTCTTTCGCTCACCTAGAATGAACTCCTGGATCTGGTCAAAGGAGTCTCGGACTTTGATGTTGTCGCACAGCCACTCGATAATCTGCAGGCATACGGAAGCCAACGTTTGTTTGTTTACGCGCCGAGGACACGGCGAGGCGCTTTAAATGCCAGCGTCTCTGCTTCAGCGCGTACCTGCGCCTCCACGTTTGGGTCATTTCCGCTGTGAAGAAGCAGGCAGTGAAGGGCAGCCAGGTGTTGAGCGTCAGCCATGTTGTGCGGTCTCCTTGGGAGACAAATAGAGTCCGGGAACATAGGAACACAACTTTTACCCGAATCAAGCCGTCGACTGCCTTCTCCTTTCCTGTAGGTGGCGCTCACCCGGATGGCGAGCGCGACCGTAGGATCTGCAGAAGGCGGGTAGCGCCGAGTTGGGCGCCGTGGATCGTCCCGCCTGACAAATCCAACAGGGCCGTGCTCGACTCCTCCTCCGCGTGCAGTACCGTGAACGTTCCGGACTTGGACGCGAGGCCCAAGTCGGCGTCGTCTCCTAAACGTCGGACGCAAGCACGTTTTCGAGTGTTGCGCTCTATATGTAATACAGCTAGACTCATTAGGTTTAAAGACAGCGTGGAACTCTTGATCTTACCAGACAGGAAGAGGGAGTGGCAGAGCATCTCCTGCTGCCTGGTATTGATGCAGTGGAGGAAGCACGCGTGCAGATACACGACGATGTAGTAACCTACATCGGGAAATAACAACCCCGCCCGTCAGCGTACGCGGTCGTAGACAGCCGAGCGGCCAAATTAGGCCACACACTCGCTTGTATCAAGAAATTCTCATCAAAGGACAGAAGTGTGTATCTGTGTGTATGTGTGTGTGGTGTGTGTGTGTGTGTGTGTGTGAGAGAGACCTATAGGGATGAAGATTGGCTGCGGCTGCACGGCGTCCCGTGGCGGCTGCCCCAAAGTGACCCGAAAAGTCTTGCTGCAGTCTTGAAAGAGGATGAAAAGGAAAATGAGTTGACATGCTGGCCTTGCACAGTTGGAGACGCGTGACTGCAGGTAACGCACACACACACACACACACACACACACACCTTTGTGAACGAGAACCACCGAATAGATGAGCTCTGGTTTGTCGCAAGCAGGCTGACTGTAGCACACGCACATGCTTCCTGGAATCAAATATAAATCATTTTAATAATACGTTTTTGGGGGGCGTTTTCCATCCGGTTTGTATCGGATCATATAAGCCGTGCATGTGTCCCTAATGTTGAGGCCGGTGAGCGAATTGATTGCGCCTCGGACGTATTCAAATCAGGATCTTGCAATTAAAAAAAAAAAATTAGCAATTGGCCCGGCCATGTGAATGCCGATTCAATCGTTTTTTAATCAATGCGCGGGAATCCAATCAGCGTTTCATTGCGCCGGGGCGAGGGACTTACGTTCTGGTTTTCCCCAACGAGAAAAAAAAACAAACCAAAAAAACAACACATAGATAGCATTAGGTGTCAGTTAGTGACGTTTTCATGTCGGGGACTGTGAAATAAGTTTTACCTAATCGATTTGTGAATACTTCCATCTTGACAGGCTGCGGCCTCTCCACGTAATGGTGGTCAAATCCGAGATTCACAAACCTGTAACGTTGCGGCCATATCCAAGAATGTTTCAATACACTGGTGCAACAAAAACTGCAACCACGGTGTACGAGACGTGATCGCCTTACTTGACGGTGCTGAAAGCGTTCACAGGCAGTTGTAACGGCAGCGCCAACTGTGAGAGAGCAACACAAAGCCGGAATGCTGTAAGGATCTAACGTGAGTGATAGAAGTCCAAATAGCAAAAAAAAAATAAAATAAAAAAATTGGGGGGGATGGGAATTGCGCATGGATGCCTCAAGATGGCGGCAATGCAATTAAAACTGAAAGGCTCATAAAGCATCAACACCATGCATCTAGCAGGCGCGCGATCCTGAACCCATGGTACAAATACGTCATTTTCATCGCTCAAAAAATGTCAACGCTGTCGTGCATTTGAGGTTCATCCTGAAATTGTGAGTCATGTACGTAGACAGCACATATAATATGCTGTTCGTGTTGGTGGGTTTGCGGTTACCACGGTTTCGCAATTGTGGTTGTCGTAGAACTGCACACATCGCAGCAGGAACTTGTCCTGTAGGGGGAAAAAAAAAACGCGTTTGCATTGAAATTAGATTTTGACAACATCCGCCGCACGGCTGATGCGGACATCTTAAAGCGGGGCCG